TGACGAAGTAGTCAGACTTGTGAATTCAATCAGTCAGTCAGTAACAACGTGGAACTTCGTACGTACGTACATCAGTTCGAGTTGCCATACCACATTAGCACAGAGATTCAGTTATCGATTCAAATCCCATAGTGGTAGAGGTAGTGATGATGTTATTTAAGGAGTATAATCCAGTGAAATAAATTTGGAAAGAAAATAAAGGACATGAAGAATTCAGAAGATTAGAGTTTGGGAGAACACAAAGAGTGAATACACCTGCGCCATTGCAAACGATTTTGAGCCATATCATTCAAGGTCTTTAACCATCGGTCGCTATCATCTCGTGGTCCCCAACCAAGTGGTCTACATCAACCAACATGAATCAGTCCACTTGTCAGTGACTTCATGGATTTGTGCCATGTTTTGGTCTGGCCGCCCCTAACCTTCTTCCAACCTACTCCTACACCATAAAACATAGCACGTCGGGGCAGTCGGTGGTCGGGCATGCGCAACACATGTCCCAGCCATCTCAAATGATTGAGTTTCACTACTTCCTCAATTGATTTGCCATCCTTATCTAGTACCCGTTTCCTAACAACTGAGTTACTTACTCAGTGGTCCCAGGATATACGAGCAATGTTTCGAAGACACCTATGATCAAATACTAATAACCTACGAATATCCTCTACTCTTACCGGCCATGTTTCACTGCCATAAAGTAGGACGGAACGAACTGCTGAGCAGTAAACACATCCTTTGGTTGATAGACGGGTATCTCGCCTACGCCACAAATGACGCAAGTTGGCAAAAGCTAGTCGAGCCTTCTGTATCCGTGCTGAGATTTCGTCACACACCAAACCACAAGGGCTGATGAGACTTCCGAGATAAGTGAAGCGGTCGACACGCTCAACTACTTCACTCCCTATCACTAGTCCGGGTGTCGACGCAACCCAATCCTGAAGCAACATTTTGCATTTCGAGGGAGAGAATCGCATGCCGAACATGCCTGCATTGTTGCTTAGAGTGGTCAACAGACTCTGCATTTTGTCAGCGTTTTCACCAAATAGAACTATATCATCGGCATATTCTAAGTCAACAAGTGGATCTCCCGGTAGACGTTCAACCCCTGGAAATTTAGATGAGGAAAGTGTCATCTCTAAAAGGACGCCAACGACAAAGTTAAACAAGAATGGAGAGAGTGGACAGCCCTGACGAACACCACTTGAGGTAATCAGTTCTGACGACAGTTCGCAATAAGCTCTCACTCGACCAGTTGTGTTCGAGTAGAGAGCCTTTATAAGGTTAATGTACTTCTTTGGTACTCCTTTCAGTGACAAACACTGCCATAGAACCTCACGATCAACAGAGTCAAATACCGCCTTAAAGTCGACAAATACTATCATTGTGGGACGTCTGAATGTGTGTCTATGTTCTAGGACCTGACGTAATGTGAATATTTGATCAATGCAACCACGTCCAGGTCGAAAACCAGCCTGGTTTTCTCTAGTCTGCTCTTCACGAGCTTTGGTTAGACGTCGAAGTATTATTGAAGCTAATATTTTAGACACTATATTAGTCAAACTAATTCCTCTGTGATTGTCACAAGAGGACTTTTGTCCTTTCTTATAGACTGGCACAATCAGTGATTGAGACCAGTCAGATGGGATTACGTCCAGTTCCCAGATTCTACCTAAGACCTCAGTCAATCTCGCTGCTAATACTGGACCGCCATCCTTAAAAATATCAGGGGTAAACCTGTCAGGGCCTGCTGCTCTCCCATGCTTCAGATTTCCTATAGCTTTTTCAACTTCGTAAACAGTCGGAGGACTTACATCAACTTGCCATTCAGGTGGACTGGAGATCGTGGGAAACTGAAGTGTGGCTGAAGGCCAGTTGAACTGATCCCTAAAGTGTTCTGCCCATCGGTCCAATCTCCTGGATTAAGAGTGAATAATATGTCAATCTTTTTCTGAGGTAGTTTCGCTAACATTTGGGTTCCTAATACCAGTTTCTTTAACAAGTCTGAACAGTTGCCTACTGTTACCTATTGCCGCTGCCTTTTCCATCTCTCTTGCTTTCGCTACCCATCACTGTTCACGATCATTGCGTAGGCTTCTAGTCAGCTTACGCTTAAGCTAACTCCGCTCTTCGTTATGTTCAGAGCCAGATTAAATGAGTTTTCGAAAATCTGTCAGTGCGGTAGATGCTGCTGAGATCTAATGTTTCTCCCTAACATTATGGTTTACCGTACTCGCAGACATCACTGCTGTTTCTACAGCTTTTCGGATGTCATTCCACGCTGCCTCTGGGTGGGCATCACTTAAATGGCTGCCTGACTGTTCTTCTAGTTGTTCCTGAAAAATATCCTTAGATTGGGTATCACTAAGTAGAACCCTAAGAGTTTCCTTGCAGCACCTTTCCTACGTCCAGTAAGACGCAGACAAATGCGCGCTCGCACTAGAGCATGATCTGAGTCTAAGCATGTGCTCCAGAATGAGCGACAGTCTTTTATCGAGCCCATCTATCGGTGGCTGATAGCGATGTGATCTATTTGGGTCCAACGTTGGGACGAATTCGGGGGTCACCATGTCAAAAGATGTTTTTCCTTATGCTTAAAGTTAGTATTTGCAATAAACAGGCGGTTATCTGAGCACAGCTGCAACAGACGGTTGCCGTTATCTGTTCTTTGAGCCGCGACACCATAAGATCCACCCAAGTATCTTTCCCTTTCGCTTAGTTTACCTACTTGAGCATTAAAGCCCCCAGCCATTATTACTACATCAGAGCGCCCAGCTTTTCGGAGAAGGACGGAAAGCTTTCCGTAAAACTCATCTTTTACATTATCTGAGCTGCAGTCAGTGGGAGAGTAGGCAGAGACGACGAACAGGCAACGACGAGTGTCCCTATCTTTCCGAGTCCTTACTGTTCCGTCTAGTCGGGCAGCGCACAAACGACTGTCTACTGGGACCCAGTCTAAGAGATCTAGTTCTGCCCTAGGACTCAATGCTATACCTACGCCAGCGAGGCCATGGGAAGCATCATCAGAGCTTCCAGATACACGAAGCGTAAATCGAGTTGGTTCGTTACTTCGACATGGTGAGGTCAAATGAATGACACTACTTGGATCCTGTATGCGCGTTTCGGAGATGCAGCACACATTGATAGCGCGAGATTCTAAAGTCCTAGCTAAGGAAACCTGTTGACCTATTTGGCACAGTGTTCGGACGTTGAAAGCTCCTATGTGTAGTTTGGAGCCTGGTTTCAGGAGACCAGGAATAACGTTCCGCGTACCCCAATTGTTTGTCCTAGCGGTGTGAGGTGATAAATGGATGTGAGAAGGGTTAGTCGTGGGGATAAGAGAGTTATTAGGAGGTGCAGGAAGGATTTGAATGTGACCAACTTGGTCTCGTCTGGTGTTATGAGTATGAGGGCTGATATCACTTCCCGGTTGCCCACACCGTGGAAGGGTATTTCTTGAGAAACCTGAAAACGAAATCGGATTAGTGTAGGTCATAAAGACCTGGGTGCGTGACCGCAGAGCCCAAGGGACAACTGCTTGAGGCCGGTCGCGCACGGCCTTTTTGGGGGAGGTTTTTAATGTGTTAGCTTCGTTCTTCAAAGGGCCTTACCGCCGGAGACGGAAATCCGTGGGCTAAGGTGAGGTGTGACATTTTTTAGGGTCAACCTTTTCTAACCCATTCCTTCCTTGTGAGAAGAAAGCATCGCTGCAGATGCTGGTTGTCCGAGGGAAACACCTGACTGCTGTCACACCTCTGTACAGTCAGCAGTACGACTTCGCCCTCAGACCTTGAGTTGCTGCTTTTAGTCTTGCCGTTCTCCAATCGACCTTCCTGGCACGGTAGAACCTACAGGAATATATGTTCCAGCCAATATAGCTCAGATGGGTCATCACGATAGGCAAGCCCGACCACCACGTCATGGTAGCAGCTACGGTCGGGAGACTTGCTAGTTATGAGGACCCAGCTCGGCTTCATTGGATGGCAACAGTTAGTTCTTGTGATTTTACCACATTAGAAAGATCCGATGGTGACCGTAATCACCCATCACAATTTTAAACTGAGAACCTCTAGGCTCGAGACATATGGATTTATTTTTTATGCTAATGAATCCGAATAAAAAGGTCGATGAAATGTTTTTACGAAAAGAATAAACATACACCTTTCTCAAATGAAATGCTACCCAATTGTTACACATTATTGACTAACTAGGATCAAAAACTTCGACTGTGATCCTAGAAGGGTCACAGTCGATCTCAAGCCTGGATAAAGGAAGAGGGCTGGGGATGGGGTCCGCAACCCTATCCCATAGAAAAACCTTGCTAAAAAACGCTAACCACTAACAAAGTAAGAACAAAAACTATCACAAAACACTGCAAAATATCTTGTAAGTTATGATAATATACTGTAGTTACATCAGCTTTGATGATCTGCGATTTCTACGTTGTACAGCTTTATGTACTTCATAACACTTTTTTATATTTCTTCGAGGAATATAGAACCATATACAAAGGATCTCACTAAAGTTAGCCAACGCCTGATTCCAATTTCTCGAAACTATAAACACTGGATCTCCGGTTGAACCACTGTTAGATTCCAGTGACAAACATTTTAGAGGCAAATTAACACGTTGACTAATTCAGCTTATAACTAAGTATTGCAAGTGTTAATATCATCACAAAGGGTTACGTTGTTGATAAGAAAGTAATTTGGATAGAAATGGAAGTCAACAATTAACATCCCAGTCATTCTTTTCCCTCGCTAACCTTAAACATATGATTGAGTAATATCGTGCAACTGAGAACAAATAATCCATTAATCTGAGTTATTTTTACTGTAACAAAAACTATTAATTACACCAGAGATACTGATTTACATGAAATATGAAAGGGAGTCGTATTTTAAAGTCTTAAGATATCATTTCACTGACACGATAATAAGTAATACATGGATAACATTATGATAGAAAAAAATAAAGATTAACAATAAGATTGTAGAACATACTTCATCAAATTTCCCTTGACTTTGACAAAGTAAAGCCAAATTGTTCAACTGTTTTGCTACATCCAAATGATCTGCACCTAATAACTTTCAAACAAACAAAAAAACGAAATGGTATACACAAAAAGTGATAAACCGAGATATAGTTTTTAATGTCAAAATAGATAAATCATAAAATTCATTTTCATTAAATTGATTATGAGAATTCGATTAAACTGAAGATATAGTTCACTATGGACAAGAAAAAGTATTTAAAATCAGTTAGTATTGTAAGATTATTTGGTCTTATTTAGACTTCGGTTTCTCACGATCTCCAGTCCACCTGAATGGCAAGTTGATGTAAGTCCTCCGACTGTTTACGAAGTTGAAAAAGCTATAGGAAATCTGAAGCATGGGAGAGCAGCAGGCCCTGACAGGTTTACCCCTGATATTTTTAAGGATGGCGGTCCAGTATTAGCAGCGAGATTGACTGAGGTCTTAGGTAGAATCTGGGAACTGGACGTAATCCCATCTGACTGGTCTCAATCACTGATTGTGCCAGTCTATAAGAAAGGACAAAAGTCCTCTTGTGACAATCACAGAGGAATTAGTTTGACTAATATAGTGTCTAAAATATTAGCTTCAATAATACTTCGACGTCTAACCAAAGCTCGTGAAGAGCAGACTAGAGAAAACCAGGCTGGTTTTCGACCTGGACGTGGTTGCATTGATCAAATATTCACATTACGTCAGGTCCTAGAACATAGACACACATTCAGACGTCCCACAATGATAGTATTTGTCGACTTTAAGGCGGTATTTGACTCTGTTGATCGTGAGGTTCTATGGCAGTGTTTGTCACTGAAAGGAGTACCAAAGAAGTACATTAACCTTATAAAGGCTCTCTACTCGAACACAACTGGTCGAGTGAGAGCTTATTGCGAACTGTCGTCAGAACTGATTACCTCAAGTGGTGTTCGTCAGGGCTGTCCACTCTCTCCATTCTTGTTTAACTTTGTCGTTGACGTCCTTTTAGAGATGACACTTTCCTCATCTAAATTTCCAGGGGTTGAACGTCTACCGGGAGATCCACTTGTTGACTTAGAATATGCCGATGACATAGTTCTATTTGGTGAAAACGCTGACAAAATGCAGAGTCTGTTGACCACTCTAAGCAACAATGCAGGCATGTTCGGCATGCGATTCTCTCCCTCGAAATGCAAAATGTTGCTTCAGGATTGGGTTGCGTCGACACCCGGACTAGTGATAGGGAGTGAAGTAGTTGAGCGTGTCGACCGCTTCACTTATCTCGGAAGTCTCATCAGCCCTTGTGGTTTGGTGTGTGACGAAATCTCAGCACGGATACAGAAGGCTCGACTAGCTTTTGCCAACTTGCGTCATTTGTGGCGTAGGCGAGATACCCGTCTATCAACCAAAGGATGTGTTTACTGCTCAGCAGTTCGTTCCGTCCTACTTTATGGCAGTGAAACATGGCCGGTAAGAGTAGAGGATATTCGTAGGTTATTAGTATTTGATCATAGGTGTCTTCGAAACATTGCTCGTATATCCTGGGACCACTGAGTAAGTAACTCAGTTGTTAGGAAACGGGTACTAGATAAGGATGGCAAATCAATTGAGGAAGTAGTGAAACTCAATCATTTGAGATGGCTGGGACATGTGTTGCGCATGCCCGACCACCGACTGCCCCGACGTGCTATGTTTTATGGTGTAGGAGTAGGTTGGAAGAAGGTTAGGGGCGGCCAGACCAAAACATGGCACAAATCCATGAAGTCACTGACAAGTGGACTGATTCATGTTGGTTGATGTAGACCACTTGGTTGGGGACCACGAGATGATAGCGACCGATGGTTAAAGACCTTGAATGATATGGCTCAAAATCGTTTGCAATGGCGCAGGTGTATTCACTCTTTGTGTTCTCCCAAACTCTAATCTTCTGAATTCTTCATGTCCTTTATTTTCTTTCCAAATTTATTTCACTGGATTATACTCCTTAAATAACATCATCACTACCTCTACCACTATGGGATTTGAATCGATAACTGAATCTCTGTGCTAATGTGGTATGGCAACTCGAACTGATGTACGTACGTACGAAGTTCCACGTTGTTACTGACTGACTGACTGGTCTTATTTAAATGTTTCATAAGTAATGTACTCAAGAATAGATTTGTTCAAAGTTCTAATGGTAGAATTATTAAATTTTAGACAATGAAAGAAGAATATTTTCCAAATATTGACTGTAGTAGACAATAAATGAACGACTCAATGTAATGATCTAGCTCTAGATAAGGAAATGGTAACTATTAAGAAAAATTCCATTTTGGAAAAGTAGTATATTTCTCAACACACAGTGATGACATTAAAGGATAGTAGCGATCAATTGTGAATTACATTACTTAATTATTATCCAATAACTGAATGATCAAATACTAGCTGTAAAACTTAAAAACCATAATCTCGAGAGTGATCGACAATACAAACTGATAACTATTTCTGAGACAGATAGAAATAACTGTACAATCAATAGTGAATTTTAATCCCATTTCAATTAAAAGCTAGCTTCAAAATATAATGGCTAACTTTCATGTTCACTAAACAACAAAATCACAAATTATTCACGATTATTATTTCACGAACATTATATTAAAATAAGATTTTCTTTTAATACACCGATAAAATAGGGGTCAACTGTGTTGAGAATATTGGTTAAAACAAACCATCCCAATTATTCATTTTAAGATTTAGTAAGACTAAAAAATGTCTATTATTGACGCCTAACAATTCTGAAACTAAGTAATATACAAATCAAGTAGGCTTTTAGTGGAAGAATGAAAAAGAAATATGATTCCAACACTGAATAGTGAATTATAAGAAAATAAATGATATAAATCATCTACCAATTGCCTTATTTACTCTGGTTTTAGTCACACAGTATGTGAGAATTATTGATACTATTACAGACACTTATACTGAAACATTTGAAGTGAAGCTTGAATTTGTGATCTAATAGTTGGAAATCCGCTGCTTTAACCAGTATTTCATAAGTATCAGTTATGTTAAAGCATTGAATTCCTACAATTGTTTAAAGCGTAACTCAGTAAGTTTTGGAAGGATTTATAAACTAGACAATGTTAAGCCATGCTTAAATTATAATAGTCAGTCAGTTATACACGCAAAGTAGTACATGCAAAAATTATAATAACTGTCAATCAATACTAAAATAAGACGAAATTTCCCTAGTCAAAACTATAGGATTACAAGTATACAGCAATATGATCACAATTAAATCTTACAACTAATCATATTATGTAAATAAAACTAACAGGAAAATATTTCGATTTATGAACTGATGTTAACCGAATAAATACTGAAAACCTAGAAGGACTAAACAATTGTTTAATTAGATTTAACAGAATATTTATCATGTGTTGTCGAGTGAGCTGCTTAAATTAAAACTAGAACTCTTATAGGTTATCATCAAATCAGTAAAATCAGTGTACAATAAGAAAAGACCTTTATTTTTCAATGTTAGCAGTAAGTATCCACATTTACTGATATCATATTAGATTATGCTTTTTCTTCCCTACAATTTCAAGTCCCAATTTTGAACTTACATATTTCGCTTCCTTTTCCCAAATAAAAAACTGAATTCAGCCTAGTCAATTCATTGGAAATTATCAGATTCAACCAATTAAGCATAACTTAACCAATCTTGTACAGTTTCAATAACAACAAACCCTCCGAAATTAGAAGTAATCATTTATAAACGAGAACAACAACATATTTAACCAAAATAAAATTAAAGGCAACACAGGATTCCGAAATCTATCGTGTGAATACATTTTAATTTTTTTATCAGTAAAGGGTTGTGCAGATTGTTGAGCTTAGATTGATATCATGAATGAATCAATATTAGACCATCATTGAAAACCCTGAAGCACTGGACGGCCGTTTCGTCCTAGGATGGAACTCTTCAGAAGTGTGCATCCACGATCCTACACGCGGGACTCAAATCAAATATCTGTCCATGCAGTGATAAAACAGATATTACAGATAGCGTGTGTGTGTATGTAAATATAAATAAACCACTTTAATATAAGAAGGATTTCTATGTTACTCATCTTCACACGAAATACAAATTTCTTATTGGAAGAAATTTGAAAAAATAAAAAAAACACTAGAAAAATAGGTAAATTATACAATCAGCCTCAAATTTGATCAAAACAAAAGTGAAGGGTAAAAACGATCAATGCATACTTTGAATAAACTAATAAGGAAAACAGTTAAATTCACCCAAGCAATGTAATCATGTTAACAAAGTAACTGAAACCTTCAAGTTGAGAAAAGGAAATCAAACAAAACTGATGACCAAAACTTTTGAATATTTTACTATTCTTAGAACAAACACTTGAATAATTTTAAGGAGAACATATAAAATAAGAAAAATATTGACAAACTATATTGAGTGACAAAATCGGTAAGATAAAAAGAATTAAATATTTAATGCAACTATTTGAGATGGATTGATTGATGGAAGTGATGAATTTCAAGATGCAGAGGAGAGGGAACTGAATAACTTGTGGATATATATTATGTTGTGACAACATTGGCTAAAAAAATATGAAACCATACAGAAAATTGAACGACTGTTTGGAACTTTTCCCGCATTGCAAATCATTTTCCAAAATCTAACATCAAGGATTAAAATGTTTAGTGGTGAGACCATAAATTTATGGACATTTGAGCGACGCTAAACTGACTTTGAGAGTTTAAAGCAATTTTCGAAAATTCAAACCCCCTTTGTGTATTCAAAAACAGTTTGTTCTTACCTACCCTGGTAATATTGACTTATTACCCAGAGTGATTAGGTTTTGAATTGTGTTCAGACTTTGAGAGTGTCCACCTAATAACCAGGATCAAATGAGGGTTATAAAGCAGCGTGAAGAATTAGAATTATGATATACAGTTCATGGTTAGGGTTAGAAATTAGATTTTGGGTTTTCATCACGAACTGACATCAGCTATAATACCAAAACTCTATTTAGCCAAATTGATGGGTGAATTTCGCGCCAAAATCCTAGACCTGTTATCTTATACCTGATTGGTTTGTCCATAGATTATAGTTGTTAACAGTGATATTTTACAGCAATAATCCCGAATTCTTCTAAGATTAATAGTTAATACAGCAATCAAAACCCATCGCGCTGCAAGGTTAAAACGTTTCAGATACTGACTCACAATGAATAAAATGATTGAGTATAATAAGTTCAGTGAGCTATAGACAGAAAATTACATAGCAACATGCAATGAATTAATTAGATTTAAATCTGGAAGTGTTAAATATATGCGCTGTGAAAACCATTGTGTACCTTGATTTTGAGATGTAGAAGAAAACATGAATGAAAAATACTGAGGGCATACTAGGTATAAAACGAAATAATTCCCCGATATTTTAAAACTTATTTATTCCTCAAGGTTATATTGATTTGTTATGAAAGTGGGAGAGTACTGGTTCCCTATAATAATAATCAACTATAATAATATCAAACTCAACTCGGCTAAACAAGATAATATTCCTGATTATATTTAAGAAAACTATGTATGTAGTCTGCCTGGAGAATATACAAACTGAGGATATAAAAAATACTTTAGTTTATAAGAATTGAAGTATATCAACTTCATTTCCGAACTATCGACCATTTATGCAAATACACTTTTCCCATTCCTGTTTAGACTGTTCGAGACACATAAAGGTTTACAGAAATTGGCTACTTAATTGTTTCGTCTTACAATTGTATGCACAGACGATTTTCCTAAGTTCAGTTGATCGTCAGCCATACGAACAATAAAATATTGAGTAGAAAACACAGAAGACACAAAAAGCTGATTACCGTTCTGGCGTTGCATCATTTTCGCAGTATTTACGGTCCTCATAGGAAAGCTTGATTCCTTTGAAAAGAACTAATATGTTCAATACGGTAAATCTGTAAACAAATCTCAATATTTTAAGAACTTTCCAAATTTATGTATTTATTGTATAGATTATGTACAAGCATAGAACAATGTAAAATTTATTTAGAGATAGAATGAATGCAACCAAGGTAAAAATAAAAAAATCTCAAGTAAAGTTTAATCTCTGTTCTTTATCAAACCTTAAATGTGAATTAAGGAAGGAAAATTAAGACATAATAGATAATTGGCTAAAATTTAGATTTGTATTTGTCTGTATTTAAATCAGTGAATCTGACTTAATATAGCATTATCAGAAATCAAGATACACAAGGACTTCAAACTATATGACTAACCACCAACAGCTTCTACTGACACCGCCATGTTTGCAAACACAATAAAGTTCATATTGATCTCAGATTTCATACACTTTTTCAGCTCAACACTATTCTCTATATACATCGCTAATTAGCAGGACTTAGTAATTCTTTTTAAAATGAATATTGTGAGCTCTAGTAACAATTATAATTATTACCACCAATATTATTAGTATTATAAGACTGTTATTTTACATGAATAAATGAATAGTGAGCATTGTTGCAGAAATGAGAAACAAAGATTTATTCTTTTAATTGAAGATACATTTCTATGGAAAATCATGTAAACCTACACATAATTCAAACTAGAATACCATATATCTCACAGAATATGTTAGTTTCGGTGTGACTTTTGGTCAACAACTGAATATATACATCATGAGTATTATATTTTACTATGTGTGTTAGCGAACTATAGAGACAAATTAATCAAGACTTAAGTAGCGATTTTTAGTTACTATTTGTGTCAAATGATTAAGAATTGTTTGGTGAAAATAGTCTCCTTGAAGACAGTAAAAACCTTAAGGAAACTAGTAGAGCTGGAGGCCAATTTAAAGACCACAACACTAACAGTTTAGTAGTTTGCATGTTATACTGCATAGGTCCCTTGAACTATGATTATAGTTTGAAAATAATGACAAAATTTATGTAAGACAGAAAACATATGTCCGAGAAATGAATTAGACTTTATGAACTTATCATGGGTACTTATTATTATTATTATTATTATTATTATTATTATTATTATTATTATTATTATTATTATTATTATTATTACCAAAGTATGTAACGTGTAAACTTAAATATTAACTCATGCGCTCACACTTTCACCTATATACTATATCAATCACATTTAATTAAAACTTTTAAAATGAATAAATCATATGATAATGTTATTAATATGATTTTTGGAATTTTATTGAATATATAAGCTATGAAATTGTTAAATAGTAAATGGTTCTAATAAATAAATATATGCTTATTATAATACAACTAATTACAGATACATGATACATACTAGTGAGAAAACATTGGAAGTTCTTGTTTCATTTTAACCAACAAATATGTGTTACACTTTGTCTGATTTGATCTGATGTTCTATATGACCACTACAAAATTATTACTGATCACATTTAAATCCTTTTAATAGTAATTAACTGTGGGATTTTAAACAAAGGTTTTAACATGAGCAGAAGGTTTATCAGTTACATATTCTTAATTTTATATATCCTGATCCTTTAGTAAATTTAAATAAAGCGAGAAGAATAAGAGTTGTAGAATAATGAGAATTTTTTATATCTCAAGGTTTCTCATCAGCTGGGAACGGCCTGAAGTTACGATTAGTTATATTATTATAAACCAATCAATGAAGTTGAGTTCGAAAACACAAGGAAAATCCAGAAGAAACAGGATGGAAAAGCATACTTAGATTGATAGTTCAATTCACTTGAAATCATGAACCTATTTAAGTTAGGCAATCATTGAAAGCTAGGAAACACTGGACGGGCGTTACGTTTTAGTATGGGACTACCCGGACGTGTGTTTCTACGACCCAGTAACTAGGAATCGAGATCAGGACCTGCAGTCCTGGGCGGACGCTTAGCTTCTAAACCACTGAGAACAGACCCAATAGTTTGCAAATTTAACTTCAACCAATCTACAGCATTGCACGACCATTTACCTTTTTCCCAGTGGATTTGATTATTGGTTGCGAGAGCAGGCATGAGCACTAATGAGGAGTCCCATACTAGGACGAAAAGACCATCTAATGATTTCAGGTTTTCAATGGTGTTCTAACTTAGATGGGTTCATGACTTCAATAAAACTCAACGATCTCCACAACCCAACACTGACAATAGTTTAGACTTACTAGTAATGTCTTCAAAATGAAGTCAAAGTGGGTGATCTCATAAACAATAATGAAAAGACAAAAATTAGTGAATGAGTAGTAATCGAGCTACTTAGTCAACATAAAATTAGAGTTAACATCGTGAATGAATCTCGATGGAATTTTTTTTAAATATAGATTACAATAAAGAGACGGTAATTGAAAAATGTCAAGACAATATAGTTATTTTACAGTGGAAATGAGAGGTTTGCCATACTTCCTTTCTGTATACAAAGGTCAGATTGAAAACGCTTGATGGAGGTAGCTTCTGCAAAGCGAGTTGAAAGCGAAGTTCTCTGATTGTTTTTTTCGCTTTATTTAAAGATATCCTTAAATTTAGACGTGTTGTTAGCAACCAATAGCAATTGGATCTAATAGTCAAAACTTTGAATGCTGCGAAGTTACTTCAACAGAAATGTCGTTTCATCTGTTTCTTTGAGATCTGATGATATCGAATATAGGTTACTGGAAACCTTCGCCTAATTCATACTATTTACAAGTGTAAATGCAAATGTAAGTTTAAGCAGAAAAAATTACTTTTTCACGTATACTAAGCGCTCGCCGACACAACGGTTCCGCTTCAGTAAATTGACCAGCTTTAGCATGTAAAACTGCCAAATTATTTAAAGCGGCTGCTACCTATAATAGTTATGAAGAAAAGACAGGCAAAAAGGAAACATAAAAGAAAACGAAAGAAGCTACAACAACACAGAGATAATACTTACTAGCCGCTTCAATATCATAGAAAACTGCAAAAACATAATTGTGTAAAATGTCTAATTACTGAATAAAGGATGAAAACCATTGATGCACTCCCGCAACTTCGATTGTACGATATAGATTTATCCGGAAATTTTGTTAGAAAGTTCAATGCATAAAACGTGGTTGAATCACTTTTTTTAAATATGACACTTTTAAATCCCATCGAAACTTATGGATACTAAAGAGGTTTAAGAGTCTAATAATATTATACTTCGAAAATCTTATTTCTCTTTTTCCAAATTTTTTTTAAACTACACGAACAAAAATAAAATGAGAATTATGCAGCAGAACTTAGTTTTGCACATAATTGGTAAGAATGATAAGCGTTTTATTTTTTTTCTTGCAGAAACCCGATATTTTGCTGATTAATATCTTGATCATGTGTTGATGCTCAAGTGAAGTCGATCTAGTCTAGTGGTGAACTCTATTCTTGATGATTAAGTCAAAAGTTTTTTTCACAAAAGAATGTTACTTTACTTTTCAACATCAAAAACATACCAGCACATGGTTAGGTCCCAAAAGTTTCTCCCGTATATTTATTACTTCTTTGAGAATATCAGATGCGTCCTTGTATTTTCCTTGATCACTAAAGCATAAGACAAAAGAGAAAAAAATCAATATTCAGACATGAAAGATTCAGAAAAAAACTAAATGAATAAAATGAACACTAGTTAGTAAACTTACCAATAAAATGGCTGCAAAAAATCCCTATATAATCAACATTACAGCAGATATAGGTAGGATATTGAAATATGCAACTGACGAGCGAACACCCAAGCGACTAAACGTAAAGTAGTTTGCACGAAACTACAAATAATATCATCGAACACAAATGATTTTAAAAAAGCTTAAAGAAACTTTGTTTCAATTTACGAAAAAAACAAGTTGTATGAAATTTTTAAACAAATGTGTTTAGAATATCAAAATAAGGATATAATAGATTGGATTTAAAACAAAGTTACATTTTTTCTGATGGTAAGCACTTCATGATATATGATGAACTAAACTTATAACAATTCCCAACAGGATTTTTCGGTGTGCAAAAAGTTCATCAAGATCCAGTTCGTTAGAATGAAGTCACTTCTATTTTATAGATTGACATTAAGGTCAAAACTTTAAAATATAACTTATAATGTGTATGTAACTTACCGGTAAACCAAAGCTAAGATATTCAGTAGAGCAGCAACCTCAGCTTGGTCACGACCACCAGATTCTTCTAAATCTCGGATAGCTTGTAAACATAAAGATGCTGCAACATCATGCTTTCCCTGACTTGTATAACGTAAGGCTATGTGATGTAGTGTTCTAAGCCCAGGGGGAACATAAATTGACTGGGAATTCCGATGTCCACCTAAACCGTGGAATTCACTTGGATTACGATTTCGATTTACTGACAATGAGTCCATATCCGCATCAAGTAAACTAGTGTTCATTATTCCGCTCATTTCTAAGTGGTTGTATGGTGAAAATGATGGAACAGTGGTAGTTGTTGTTGTAGTCGGTTTCCAAAATTTGTTGTGTGTATCGAATCGATCCACATGATTAGATGTGTTCAAATGGCTTGAAGAACTCATTAGGCCGAGAACAGACGCAACCATCATCGGCGGATCATCCTCTAAATGTTTATAAGATGAATCCATATTAATTTTGTTGCAATTAGTCAATGAATGTTCGTTAGCAAAAACGTTTACTAGAACAAGGCGAATAAGTAGATTTAATTAAGGGAAATATGGAAAAATATATTCACACGGCACCTCTGTGATCAAATCATTTCACTTCCAATCAACAGGTAGCTAGCCCTGACTCCATTTCACCTTCTTGAGTTTGGATCGTTGAATGGCATCACTATCCGTCATACAGTGTAACCTATGGCAACTTGAACTGATGTACGTAAGTACGAAGTTCCACGTTGTTACTGACTGACTGACTGACTGACAGTCTAACTTATAGTCAAGCACATGAATCTATATTCAGTGAGCTTAACAAATTATGCGCATAAACACTACAATGAAGTTATCTATTGTAGTTGACGGCAAATAGTATTATAGGGCTTGTTACAGATGTGTTGGTCTAGGTTGGTACACTTTACATCAAGGAAGACAAAGAAAATCAACCAGAGGAAAAGTGAGTGGTACTAAAACACTGAGAAAAATCCCAGAAAGAAAGAATACAATCGATGGATAATTTCTGCAAAATTATACTACAACCCCGAATCGACGGAAGATATATATAATGATTGCATATAATCCATTGGTATGATTTTGGGACATTTTCCTAAATGCCTTGAACGATTATCATGACTGAATTTTTTATAATTTGACAAAGATCAGAACAACAGCTAGCAACCTAAAAGACCAATAATTGTCTATTTTGGTTATTCAAGGTCTTATTCCAACTAGTAAAAAATACACGTAAGAAATGTCTCTACTACCTTATTCGATTACTATCCTAATAAACCGATTTAGTGGTTCTACCGAATAATAAGTGCTCGATCTTGGTGGTTTTGACAAGACTAAAGAGTGCTTTGAAACATCACGAGATAAGCCCTAACTTAGGATCCTCAAGGCCAATGGCGCTGGTGTATGTACTCTTTGTCTTCCCTTAAACCGTGAGATTAAAATTGCTTTGTATCTTTCTTTCTACCAACTAAATCTTTCTTCCTGTACTATATCCTTATACACAATCTTTTATATATTACCACTTTTGAAGTAACTACTTTATGAATTTGGTGTTCATCGCGTTGTGTTAATGATGTGTGGCAACTTGGACCGATGCATATAGGTGACTGGTCCTACGTTGTAGCTGACTGACTGACTGGCTCAAGGTCAAAAGAAAAGAGAAAGACGGAGGAATACTTTGAGCAGGGATTTGAAGGCAAGCATAGAAAGAATGAATAGCACTTGGAAACAACTGTAAAATACAGCTCAGATGATTTAGGATATCTTGGTAGGTGACCTATACTCCACGACGATTGACAGGCGTAAGTTAGTACTAAATACAATGCTCGCCAACCCTCAAAGATGTTACTCAGGGACAAAAGACCAAGTAGGTTTTCTATGCCTATAAAGGATTTGTCAGCCACTTGTCCACTAGAACTAATGAAACAGTTGCAGCACCAAGTTTTACAACGCTTTATTATTAAAGGTGGCATCGATGCATTCTAGACTTCCTGCGATCGCCATATAAGTTGCTTAAAAACCTGTCACAAATCACCAGATTCCAGTGATCTCGCTAGTTTGTCCTTGCTCAAACCGAGGTAGGTATAACGAATTTCAAGTTTACACTCAGAATGGTCAACGCTAAAGTATATGTGTCATGAAGAAGTTAGCTGATGCATCATACTATAATTTAATAGGACCACATAAGTACTCGTCTGTACGTTACTTCCGTACAAAGCTAATAAAGCAAATCGGACCAATCTGTTTATAAAGCACATAGAAAAAACACTTCATAAAAAAATAAATAGAACCTTACTTTTTTCAGCATCACAACTGCTGGAAGATATGTCATATTTCTTTAAATCCAACATAAACTCAAGATGTTTTTTTTCGACTTCTGTTTGAGCAAGCAGCGATTCGTTTTCCTGTATTAACCAGCAATACATATCCACAATAAAGTTACCTCCAGTTTTGTTTGTGTGTACTTTAGCTCATCTCGAAGCCAACAAGTTTCTTCAGTTAACCTTTGATTGTGCAACTGTACCTTTAACAGCTCAGCTTCCAAATGTTCGATATATTTGGCAAATGTGATCATAACCTTAATATTTTTAGACATTACTCTAAACAGAAAAAACCTCTGAGTCGTCTAATCCTTTCTCGATTTGTTTTAGTGCAGCTTGAATTATTGGAATTTTCTCTTGATTAAAGACTTTTTCACATTCTAGACTTGTGTTAAGATTTGGTGACGAATGACTGTTTTCTGAATTACAAAATGTACTTAAGGCAGATAAGGCTTGTTCATGATCCTGTTTTAATGATTCAAGTACCAGTTGAGCTTGCTTAATACTTTGCTTGACATGAGAAGGCATACCCATTACCAAACCAGCATGACAAACTTAAGTCTGAAAATTCATGTGGTGACAGAAAAGAATAATAATAAAATGAAAATAAAATACTCAACATTCACTTATCTCATGATATGCTTTATTCCACTAAAAATTACTGCTCTTACTCCTGAACAGCTAAGTGATCTTACTTTATTAGTTTAACGCAAAGAATTGTGTTTTATTAATTACTAGTCATAGCATACATTTATTTGAAAAAGGGAAACACATAATACAATTGGGACTTGCTTTTATACATATGATATCAATGCGGTTTATCCCCACGTCAGTCACTGGATAGACTTTAAAAAAGTATTAGAAACTAACTAACAACCGAGTATTTTAAGAACCAGCATCTAGTATTCTTGTACGCTAATACTCAATCTCATATAAATTTTGGGGAAAACCCAAAATTTCCCGAAAACTTTGGGGTTTTTCCTCAGACCTGGAGAAATTTTGAGTCTTTCTGTTTTCTCGAAATTTTCCAAAAGCTTTCTAAAGCGGTTTTTCCTAAATTTACCCAAACCCTACAAAATTTTCCCAAAAATAGGGAGATTGGGTATAAACCACTTAAATTCTTTACATTTGCACCCTAGTGTTGTACAATGCTTTTGGCTAAACATAGAATCTGATGAAGTTAGTATGTACACTTGGTAAGAATAGCCTTGGTGAAACGGATACACAATAAAAATAATCATGATAATGCATGACAAGACTACACAGTCTAAACCGGAGTTTCTTCATGTGAGAGATAAAATCTTGAGTAACGTACCAATAGAACTGAAATGATATCTTTATTTGTTATGCACAAAACTAAAAAAGCCTTAACTGCACACAATAACAACAAACCAATCTCAGCGGTGACCTTAAGGATACCAGTTGGGCGCTTTCAGTCAACCAGAAGTTGGTGTATACTTCGAACATTGTCAACTAACATTCGCCCTCTGGCTATATGTCTGAATTACAGATGGTAAAAAAGTGAGCATATAAATGCGTAATGCTCCTTTATGAACCTGAAAAAAATAAAATATTAGTGATAAACAGCGACAAAACGAAAACACTTTGAACTAACTACCCAATATAGAAATAACGTAAAATATTTTTTCTCAGATTATCCCTTCATATTCCATTACCCGTATTCTACGTCCCTGTCTATATTTCTTACTAAAATTCCCAAAACACAACGATTTTAAACGATAATTTTTTGCTTTCGCATGCTGTAGCGGTAAATAATTCCCCAAAATCAAATAGCTCTGTAAGTTTTTGACATTGGATGCTGACCACAGTTTCAGTGGACTCATCTAGCTGAAGGCGCTCGGTCAAGCATCCGAACCAGATCACGTGTGGGAAAGCCGTGCTCAACATCTGCCGCAATCGCTAGCCAGATTAGTGCAAACGATCCTCGATATATTGATAGCTTATCAAATATATCTTCGATCTCCTCACTTCTATCTTTTGATTTTACAAATCAATCCAAAAGTGGTTGTGGGTATGGGAAACTGTAACTAATAGATGAGAAATAAGTTAAAAAATGTAAGTCGTATATTAATAACTAATAAGTTGATAATACGTTAACATTTTAATTTCAGAACTAGTCTGGACATAAAAGTCCTGAGTTAAAACACCATATATCACTCATAAGATTAATTTCTTGTCAAATTCAGCTATTTCCGACATCCGATCAGTATTTATAAATATTAGAGACATGTTTTATACATATGAGTTAGAAGCTGAACCAAGGTTTTCCAGCCCACTTATTCATGCCTGGTATCCCTCGTAGTGGAGAAACGGCCGCTCGCCAGCATTAGCCATTGAACTCTGTCATGGACAATCCCTTCCAGTTTCTATTCATCTTGTAGCGGTAAATAATTCCCCAAAATAAATAGCTCTGTAAGTTTTCGACATTGGATGCTGGTCACAGTTTTAGTGGAATCATCTAGCTGAAGGCTCTCGGTCAAGCATCCGCACCAGATCACGTGTGGGAACGCCGTGCTCAACATCTGCCGCAATCGCTAGCCAGATTAGTGCAAACGATCCTCGATATATTGATAGCTTATCAAATATATCTTCGATCTCCTCACTTCTATCTTTTGATTTTACTTGGTGGGTGCGCTTCGTATTAGGTGTTACTGGTTAAAGCGCTGTCAAACTCCGAATACCTGTGGCATCTTCATTGGTGAGCCCGACGTGATCTCGTACACCATATTGTAAACTGTGAGTCTGTTCCTTTTTGTGATTTTATATATCATTGCCTTATTTTAATTTTTTTAACAATGTGATATTTTTTCCCGTGTTTTTGGGTTTATATATATATTTGCCACTCGTTCACTTTTCGTACTTGATATATTACTATGACTAAACAGACCCCTAAAGTATTTAAGTTAAAGACTGTGTCCCCACCCTCTTTCCGACTTATGCCTTTCTGGCCAGACAACATCGAAGCCTGGTTTTGTTACGCAGAAGCCGACTTTTTCGAGCACGGTGTGAACGATACGCGTATACAATTCCTCGCAGTAGTCAAGGCACTACCGCGCGAATTTAACAGGTACGTAACACCTAGTATGTTTACTAGTGATGTTTCTGATCCATACCAAACCCTGAAACATGCCATCCTTAAACGCGGAAATCTAACCGATCGACAAAGGTTAGACCAACTCCTCAACAACATCGACCTGCAACACGGTTCTGCCACAGACATGTTGCAAAGAATGCGAGAAGTCATTGGCCAAAGAACCTTCGATGACGGCCTATTCAAACAACTTTTCTTATCCAAACTTCCTCAACAGGTGCAAGCTGTTTCGGTCTCGTTCCAAAACAACGCCGTAGACGAGCTAGCTGCATCTGCCGACCGCATTCTCGAAATCAATAGGTCTTCTAACGCCAAGGTTTTTTCAGTCAAAGAAAAGCCTCAAACGACCCAGAATGACATAACACAGTTATGTCATACACTTACGCGTTATCTCAAACTATGTAACGACCGTAAACGATCACTTACCCCGCGGAGAAGCACATCACGTAGGCGATCTGTATCTAGAACTCGAGAGACGGATAATCTTGATTTGTGCTGGTACCATAAACAGTACCGAAAGTCTGCCAGAAATTGCAGAAAACCCTGCAATTTTCCCAACGCGAAGAACGTTTCGGGAAACTTCCAAGCCGGCACGCGTTAACGGCGACCGTAGCCGGCGAACATAGCCGTCTTTTATATGTCACTGATGTGATAACGAGAGTTCGCTATCTCGTCGATACTGGCGCAGAAGTTAGCGTTCTCCCAGCAAGTTCAAACGACCGGCTGAACGAGTCGGCTTTAAATCTACAGGCGGCAAACGGAAAGCCTATCGCTACGTATGGCAAAAGGTATGTTTATCTTAACGTGGGTTTACGCAAACCCATTCACTGGATTTTCGTTGTTGCAGATGTTTCTATGCCAATCATTGGTATGGACCTTCTACAACACCACAACTTAATTATCGATACGCGCAAACGGAGGTTAGTAGACGGAAACACTAATTTATCTGTTTGCCTGACTTCTTTTTCTGGTTGCAGGTTATCTCCAGTCACTATTAAGCACACTATAGACCCCTTCTACCAACCACTACTCGATAAATATTCTGGCATTTACCAATCGCAACCGAAATTGCCGTGTGTAACCAGCAGTTGCACATCACATCTCGACTACAGAACCACCTGTCTTTTCGAAAGCACGCCGACTGGCCCCCGAAAAGTTAAGGTTGACAAAAACGAATTTGACCATATGATAAACTTAGGAATCATACGACCGTCAAATAGCCCATGGGCATCTCCGTTGCACATGGTCCCTACAAAGGACAGCAACGATTGGCGTCCAACTGGTGACTATCGGCGAGTGAATGCAAAAACCATTCCCGATCGTTACCCGTTGCCCCACATTCACGATTTGACAGCTACCTTGAAAGGTGCAACTGTCTTTTCAAAAACTGACTTGGTAAAAGCTTATAACCAAATTCTTATGGCCACTGAAGACATTCCAAAAACCGCTATTATAACGCCCTTCGGACTCGATGAATTTTTGCGAATGCCTTTCGGTCTGAGAAACGCGGCACAGACTTTCCAAAGGTTCATAGATGACGTTTTTCGAAGTCTCGACTTCGTACATGCATACGTTGATGACTGTCTAATAGCAAGTCCGGACAGAGAATCACATCTCCAGCATCTGGACCTTGTTTTCGACTGACTACAAAAACATGGCATTACCGTAGACATTCAGAAATGCCAAATCGGAACCGAATCCTTAGACTTCTTAGGACACACCATAGATGCTCATGGCATTCGACCCCTTAAAACAAAAGTGGCGGCCATTCTGGATTACCCAGAACCGACCACCATCAAGCAATTGCGCACGTTTAACGGTCTGATAAGTTTTTACAGACGATTCATACCAAAATGCGCGTTACTTATGAAACCCCTTACCGACCAACTTCGTGGAAACACGAAATCCATCGATGTGGATGACACTGCACGAAAAGCATTCTCCACGGTTAAGAAACATATCGCTCAAGCAACAATGCTTGCTCATCAGGACACTGAAGCGCCCATTAGTATTGCAGTAGACTCATCCGACTCAGCAATCGGAGCAGTCCTACAACAATGGGTTAACCACTCCTGGCAACCTTTGGCATTTTTCTCTAGACGGTTGCTAGACACTGAATCGAGGTACAGTACATTCGGTAGGGAACTCTTAGCTATGTATTGTGCTGTCCGGCATTTTCAACACTATATCGAAGGCCGTGAATTCACCATTTTTATCAACAATAAACCACTTACTTTCTCCTTAAGCTCATCTTCAGACAAGTACTCACCACGTGAGTCTCGACAACTGGACTACATTTTGCAGTTTACTTCAGATATTCGACAGATTTCTGGAGCAAACAATGTAGTTGCAGACGCCTTGTCTCGTATAAATTCCTTGAACAGTTCCCAAGGAATCGACCTTTTAAAACTCGCCCAACTTC